AAAAAAAAAAAAAAAAAAAAAAAAAAAATATATATATATATATATATATATATATATATATATATATATATATATATATACTGAAGTATATATATATATCAAAACACGATAACACGACCGGACAAGCCTTTCGGCAAGGGACAGCTCACATAGAATAACCAAACTCCTTTTACAAAAGTTTCTATTCCTCAAAATAAAAATAAAATAAAATAAACACACACCGACAAGTAAAACGTACCTAAACAACTGATGCTGATCAACATGTCTCGTTCTCTTCTTTAAAAGGCCATGTTGGAGAGAAAATATGAAAAATGAAGAGTTGGGTACCAATTGTGGTAGTTGAGACAAAATGCAGACTGCACATAGCTAAGGCATGCCTTTTCTCTTGTGAATTGTACCCTCTGTGGCAGTTCAATATTAAAAACATGACCAAAATATGTCATCGTAGTGTAAAGAATGCAGTGTAACGTCTCAACTCAACAGTAAAGAAAGCCGTGACTGCCACTTACCGTTGATTGGTAGATGATATAAAAAATAAACCCTATCCAGTCTGAATAAAGCTGCATCGAGAAAAATTAACACTTTCTTTTTCCAAATTTAGATTTTTAATAATAACAATAATAATAATAATAATAATAATAGATTCTTCCAACTGTTAATATCAGAGCTGTCTCGTCAGTAAAGTTAAGGACATTCAAAATTTCTCAACCTTAAGGTTTTGGATTTCGGTCATCAGGACCATTTTCTTTCATTCGTACAATTAGATACGCTTTATTCAATTAATCTTAGTAAATTTTCCACTTAGCTCCCCCTCTCCCACACGCTTTAAATCCTATTCCCCCCATTTTCTCAGGATTGTATGGCGTAGCAAATTTCTACGAAATGTCTTTTCCAAGAACATTCTGTTAAATAACGAACATCCCATTGCATGGAATTTACCCAAATCTTTCTTTCAAAATCTTCCTTTGGTCCGTAAAACAAACAGTGCGATATAATAGAAGAATAGACACCAATTTAAACTTTCCGACCAAAAGCGTTCCTCGGTATTAACCAGTAATTCAAGATTTCCTTACTATATTTCCTCTTTGACCAGCTGACTATAGATATGTGGCCTCAATCAGCCAAAGAGGCAATGTAGTGAGAAAATTGGAGAATAAATGCCGAGGAAGGCCTTTGACCACAATTGATGTTTGTTTTTATATTGGTGGATTTATTACTTTCCTTAGGAAGGTTTTATGAATCTTGATTACCAATAATCCGTTAGATGGAAAGTGTCAACCAAATTTATATGAAATTTTGCAGTTATTTTGAACATAGCGTTGTTCGGACTGTATGTTCAATGAATTGTTTTTGGTATTTGTGCTTCCATAAGCATTCACAGTTACTCTTATTCGACCTGAGATAGAGTTCAAGCAAGATATGTTGAAGGCCCTTGACCTCTGCAGGCTTCACAAACGACCAAATGGAAAATGGAGGAGGTTTATTTTCACCATATCTGTTTCTCAATTCGTTAATTTTGAGCAAATTTCTTTGCATCTAGAGAAACATAATGTTGTTGTATACTACAAAATATTACATATATTTTCTTAAAGACAATTAATTTATCTTGTAAAATATGTTTGATACTATTGGTCACTAAAGCTTTCATGCGAGCTACTTCAACTACTTTAAAAATAAAGTTTTTATGTAAAGCATCTATTGTTTTGCAGTTAAATATTGAAAGTATATGGTCGAAGTTTAATGAAATCCTGCTACTGAACGCATAATAAAATAAGGAATTTTTAATCCCTATCATTCCATTTATGTCAATAATTCGCCCACGCCATGGCAAAATGTTCACTACATATGAGTCAGAACGCATACAGATGGATAGTCTCATGCAGCCATTTCCTCCGTTAATTTAGATATGATATTATGAAAATATTTCGTCTTTCAGTATTGACCAGAGCTTTATCTCTAGCATCATTCTTCCAGGAAACTCATTCGCTTTGCCGTAGCAGTCCAATGCTATCTACGACAAGCACCTGTTTTATCATCCCCAATCCAACACACATGTATATTCTAAAGCTATAGAATTCTCAACAAAGAAGATCCAAATTAATTAATTTCGCCATTGGTTATTCGTTGACTTGATGATCCCTGTTAAATATGGATGGGTTCACAAATAAACGGGTTGATTAATTATAAGACGACTGAAAATTTTTGCTACCACCGGGTACCGTGTTTATAAAAACTGCTAGTTATAAGTTGCTATAATATAGATTTATTGGACAGACGTCTTAAACAACGGGACATGTGGTCGCCAAGTGAACAGCAAATGGATTTTTGTCTAATGCAATCAAACTTGAACAAAGAGTCAGGTCTTCGTGTAGGACAGAATCATCAAAATCGCTTCCCGAATCTTCATTTAATTTAGCTATATTAGCTACTCGCTCGATCAAATATGGATGAATGAAGCCTTCTGTTTAACCGGAGTGTTAAAGGACTCTTATCCTTACTCACCCTCTGATATCTGGGGCCTCTTAAGAAGCATACAAAAATTAAGCATAGAAAATAATTTTGCAACAGACCTTTAGCGCACTCTGTGGTCAGAGAGTCCCCTGTACCCATACAGGCGGGTACAGCACTCTAAAAAGGTTGAGAACGGGTACCATATATGTCATACAGAGGCTTATTCAAAGGTGCTGTCATTTTGGATGATAAAAATATTAAAGCAAAGATGTTTTTAAAGTTTCATCTGTTTGGTAAATGGTAATGATAAAAAACTCTTTGTCACACAAAGAATTAAACTAAAATGGAAGACAAAAAATATAAGAAATTGATATAAAAGGAAAATAATAATAAAACATAGTCTGAGGAGCATCGTTCAGTACAAAATAAAAATACTGTAAGACAAAATTTTTCAGTGTTGAGTGTTTCGAGATAGGCTCCCCTCACTGTGCTTTGATTTATATATATTTACAAACACGCAAATAATTACACACATTTGGCACAATGCTTTCGGAATGTTTTCAGCAAAATAGACAGTAAAATGTACCACTTTTGGTACTTTAATGCTAACCCAAAGCATTTTAGTGCGTTATAACGAGCACGGTATACCTTTTTTAAAGGCAAAAATACAGTATAAACGTGTGCTACACTGTAGAAACTAATATTTCGATTTGCACTGCATTATGCCATCCCCTATGCGTCAACAGATGTATGGTAATTAGCTTTACATAGTGTCGAGAGGAAGCAAAAGATAAGAAAAGGCACTGCAAATGCTCTCTGGGATTCGTTGTGATACACAGTGCATTTTCAAACGTGTTTTTTTTTTTTTTAATTTTTTATCATTTTGTTTATTTATTTATTTTTGGAAACAGGGGCAGGGGAATTTTAGTGTGGGAAATTTTTTTAAGAACAAGAAGGACGACCCATTTATGTAATGTTTATAAATTAGTTTCTGATTTTTTTTACGTATTTATTTGAATACAGGTCTGGGGGACAGAAGTTCTTGTCATTTTTCGCTATGAAGAGCCTCCGCGCTTTGTCTCTAACACCTGTTTGTTGCTACTTGTCAAATGAAATAATTTTTTTTTAAGTTCTATATTTAATTCACAAAAAACTAAATGTTTCCTGTTCTATTTTTGACAAGAAATAAACCGTTCACTTTATTTCTAAGACAACTGATTGAATAGACACCAAAATAACAACGGAGAAGACTAACTGCTATTGATCAGAACTTGATTACATCGTGAAGTTATGATTGATCACTTATGGTGCCTGCATGAATTAACCTTTCTTAAAGCTTATTATGAACCGATGACCAGTGGACACGTGCTGTCAGTAGGGTAGGCAAATATATCATTTCTCTGGTCAAAACACTGTCGGTAATTCTGCACTTGGGTTGGAGGCTGGGTTTTCTTAGAAAGTGGTGGCCGGGTCTGAGATGTGCAGTTTGATGGGTTTTGTAGTACTATACTAGTTATAAGATGAGGTCGAAGCTCGTGTTTTGTATGCAACACTTTAAAAATGCACCAAAGCCTCCACGCACACACATGCACACGCACGCTCTCGCGCACACACATACCCAGATCAAATCATCCTACATCATTCAATATAAAATTCAGGGCTGATGTTCAGTATTTGTGCCACAAATATCAATGTCTCTTGCAAATTTCAGAAACATAAATTCAGTTCCTGCAGTTTGTGTTTAATGGTGCGGGGAATTTTATCGGATATCAGACTCGTCCATATAAAAAATTCTGCCCTTCTTTCTACCGATTGTATATGCCTGCATAAAACCACAGACAATGTCAACGAATGGAATATAACAGACATGAAGTTATCCAGAGAACACAGACATGTTAAATCAATACATAAACACACGCTGCACACGGGATCCTATATGTAACTAGTGGCAGCTCATGACGCCGGCTGATTTTCAGTAAAATCCAGCATTTTGATGCTGTGGAATCAGACGTATGATTGTTCTGATCACTGATTATTATACAGCTTAAATAAGAAACTCTGTGCCCAGTTTAGAATCACCTTTTCTGAAAATGATTTTGTACCGGTAATGCCAAATAGGTAGCTTCAGCTACCAAGAATCACCAAAAGGTTATCTTTAGACTGGCGTCTAAAATAATCGAATCGTCTTTGATAATTTGCTTCTCTTCCCTATCGAATTGACAAGAAGGGAATCGGCCGTAAGTCTCAAACGCAAAATGCCAAATCCACCTTTTTATCACTCCTCACATCAAATTCCAGTGTCATGCAACGTGCGTCTGTCCTCAGATTTGCGGAGACCCTTTCCGTTGTAGCGTCAGGCCTTCCTGTGCCCCATAGGACCCGCCAGTCATCGATTTTTGCCTACTGTTTCATCAGATAATGCACAAAAACATTCATCACGGGGAGCTGAGGTAATTAGTTTAAATTTACAATTCTAGAGCACCGTGTACCACTGCGCATGCCTCAGGTCTGATGGAGTGCCTATGCTTTCTGCATTAACCATAGCAAGAACAGCAAGATGACGGCATTTATAAAAAAGAGAACAGCAGGGGGCCAAGGGGAGAGGAAACGAAGGCTCCATTGAATTGAGTTCTAACTTAGTGTGTTGGTAGTAGTGCTCTATTTATCAGTTATAACAAATACCGGGCCACAGGAGCAAAAGCGCAAGACAACTGAAAAGCAGCACTGGGAGAGTAGAGCGATTTTAAATATGCGATACTTTCTATTGCCCTTTACTGGAAGACATCTGTTTCAGTCCCCTGACAAAGACATTTATTCACAATGTGTCTGTAGTCGGTGATTCTGCAATATAAAAAACGGCATCATGGAGACACCTGAGATAACGCTTTGGTTGATTCTGTGTGCTTTTACCAGGCTGTCGATCAACGGTCAAAGAGCCGAGGCATATGTCCCCGAGAACATTCCCATAGGTAGGTGTTTTTAATTGGAACCGCACGCAAACGTTAGGAATGTTTTTACCTCTAATGTTTCATGTAGCTAGAGGCGTACAGAAACAGCTACCTTCACTGTTTTCTTTCCTTCATTTTGAAATGACAACCCTGTGTGATTCATTGTCAAACCTCTCTACCAGGCTGTCACTTCTGTTATCCTTTTTCACAACAGGTTTCTTTGTGTCACTATGTCCTATAAAATATGAATCCCTGAAACCTGTGTACATGTATTAGGAATATTGGTATATTGAACTTACACATAAACCCTTGTGTTCAGTGTGTGGGCTATTATTATTATTTCAATTTGACTAAATGTTCCCAACTTGGTATGCCTCATTGTCAACATTTTATTCTAACTGAGACGATTGAGAGGACATTACTCATTTCAGGCGTTAATATATTATGTAAATAGAAAAATCATATTAGAAGGCTCAAGTTTTCCACTAATTATATCAATTGCTATATGATTGATATAGAAAAGAATGGATGAGGCGTAAGGGATTTTTGTAAAAATTACATTCACATACTCACTAGTTCCATGGTTTTTCAACTATTCCTCGTCATGTTAATCTCTCTCTCTCTCTCTTTCACTCTCTCTCTCTTTCCGAAAATGGCGGGACATCCCCTACGACTATTGCACGTATTGATTCTTGACAAGCAGATGCATGGTCTGGAACCACAGTGAATATGTAAATGCCAGAGTTGATTGGATTTACAACAACAGTTCACCCAACAATACAGTAAAAAGATAATAATCGTGTTCTCCACACGTGTATCGCTGAAATTCAGTATCGTAAACGGAAAAATATCTTTGGGGAAATCTTAGCAACACACCGCCAAAACTTCAAATATCAGCGCGACATTCATTCAATCACATAACACTGTTTATAATTTCATATTTTTCACTTTTGTGTGTCTAGTTAAATGTACATAAAATTAATTTATTTCATCTGTTTACTGTGAGGAGAGGGTATTCATAGAAAAATTACCAGACATGGGTAACACGTTTAAGGTACAGTCATTATCTCGGAAACAGGTGCCATGTTTATTGATTCAGGAATAAGTTAAACATATTAACCAGACGACACCTGCTCCAATTAGTCCACAAGCAAGTACCCTATAAATGTATAAGGAAATTCGTACAGACGCCAGTGGGTTTAAAGTACTGTGCATAGAATCGGAAGTAAGGCTCAATTTTTACTTCTTCGTCGCCTCTGAGAACGTTACGCCAAAGCGAACTATTTTAAGATGAATAATTTACAGCATTTCGAGAAAGCTTTTAAGAAAGGCATACTACAAGCGTCAAAATGCCCATAAGTTTCAGCATTTTATTCCATCCGGTACACACAACAGGCGTAATCTCATGATTCGTCGGGAAGTCTTGATGCATGCCATTGATTTTCTATTAGAAGTCATTAAATAAGGTAAAGTGTAGAGCATATTCTCGAAATATTTTATGGGTTTTCTGATATCTTCAGTACCAATAAAAATATATGAAACTACATGTAAAAGAAAGGGATTTTTTGGTAACGAGGTGCCATAATGATATGCCACGAAATAAACCTGGTTCCTTTAGAACATATGGATTTGCAAGGAAGAAAACACGCACCTCTTCGCCCATCAAATCAATGTCAATTCGCGCCCAATTATTCCTCACGAGAGACAAGAGAGGCAAATTGAACTCACAAATTCCACTAACAAATGGATGCCCACCCAGATGGATGCATCGAGGCGATTTAGTCGATTAACTCGACATTCACGCCAATCTGACATTGTATGACAGATTTATATTGTAAACACAGTGGAGGGAAGGCAGCCTTTTTTTCTTTTTTTCCAGTTCTGTATGTTTAGAATTAAAACTTATTGTAATGGAGTTATTCACCCACCACTGCTGGGTATTTATGCATTTATGAAGATTGTTTTATTATATGCACTCACCATATGCTTCAGAAAGTGATCTAGACTACATTGCCTCGAGCATTTTTCTGTCTCTTTTGATATTTCAGGATAGACTAATTGCAGCTTTTTATTAGCAAGAACGAAATGTTTCGTAGCTTTTGATGTATATATCCATATATATATATATATATATATATATATATATATATTTTTTTTTTTTTTCATGCTAAAATCAAATCTTTAACAGTTTAAGCAATGGCGAAACACCCAAGAACTGAACGCAGTCGCAAGAAAAAATTTTCAGAGCACGGCAGCAACGTGTATTGAAAAAAAAAATAGATGAAGCTTTTAAGTTTTTTTTATTAAAAAGTAATATAAAAATTTAAGAAAATAGTTCTCTGGTCGTAAGGACTATGCGTACACCGAAAAAAAGTACGAAATTCAATCAACCGTCAAGAGAAACTCAAATCAAATTACTTCCGGGGTGATATAAAGACATGATGGCGCCATAATAGGTTTAGCAATGAACAAGGGACACGTGGTAGTTTCTCTAGTGAAAACAAACCAAAGCCATTAGCTGGTTTTAAGGACCTGCCAAAGTGCAAAATGTACTGACCAAGTTCATAGCCAACCACGCAGACAATCGAAAAGTGCAAATCCCGTTTTTGTTTTAACTTAACGACTCTGGAATTGCCTGGTGTTGACGGACGCACAGTTAACCTGGACAGTGCTTAACTTAGTTAAAGGAAAGTTCTACAATTGACTTCTGGGATACATTCCTACAATCTCGTGTTTCTCGAAAACGTGATAGGGTCAGTGAAATTATGGCCAATGAAGCATCGTCTGGGTTGGGAGACATTTGGCGGTTTTTTGTTGAACTCCAATTATATCAGTTCAGCAGCCTTTGATTTCTCTAGGTATTCAACACAGCTGGGGTCTGGCCAGTTATTGGCTTGCGACCATACCAGAAAGGCTATAAAACTCATTAGGACCGGTGCCATTAGTCATATGATTTCACAACTATACTAAACCTGGAGGGTTTCCACTCACACGTACAATTGTGTAAAAAAAACAGGAACTCTAAACAGAATAGGGCAGAGCAGTTTTTTGTTTATTCATTAAGACTAAAATTGACTAAGATAAGTGGTTATAAATGGTGTGTTTTGATGGCATACTTGCAGCGCCTATTTGAATAGTTCCTTTCATATATGCTGCATTTATGAAAATTAAATCAATATGCATGTTGAACAAGACGCAAAGTCAACGACCGCATGTCTGTTCCCTAATTGGAATAAGACCAGTAATCTATAGTGCCATTCCTATATTTCTACCAGACCGATTTTATATTTGATATTTTCTACCTAAATGTTAAACGGTCAATTCATTTTATACTGACAGTCATTGAAAACGCATCATTTATTTATCAAATAATATTTTAAGTTCCTTTGGCACATTAAGAAAATAACAGTTTTCGTGTGAAATATGTGAAATATGAAAAGGTGGTCAGCCCACTCTCTTATGACCAAACAAGTGCATTTGTACTCGTTTATATGGTTGGAATTAATTCTCGGTAAAAAAGTTCAAGAAAGTTTTCTGATGCGTTTTCATTGACTGTCAGTATACATGACGATTCAGCACCAATGGGTTGTACATGTGCTACGCGTCAGTAATTGGCAACTTAGGTCACAAAGAAAAAAACAAAAAATCAAAACGCATATGATATGATAATAATGAAAATATTGGTAAAACAAAATTCAGAAAAGAATTCTAAAATTTGTCTTATTTCAGAGAACAACTACCGATTAACTTGGCCAAGCATTCACTGCACTAGAAGCATTCCCGCAACAAATTCAACCAAAGGAAAAACCCCCTAGTGCATGTTCTGTTTTGTATTGATATTGACCTGGAGCCTCTGAATGTGATAGCATTTGTGGAACTTATTTAAAATTAAAGGGGCCATTTTGTATGCAATTGACGAATTTCCCTGAGAAGTCATATTTTAGCGACAATAGGAATAATATTAAAAAATATAGCGTTATGCCATTACATTCAAGTTGATTAATCATGGCAAATTTGGTTATTCTTACAATTATTATATATCGCATGAACATAATGCCATTTTCGCTCCGTAAAACCATTACTTGGAAGACAAGAAAAATCACTTAGATATTCTATTTAGTCACGTGTTGCCTAGCACAGTAGTTGCACCATTAAGTTGATCACGTCTCAAAAGACTCCTACAACTTCGTAAATGATAACCGAGTTTCAGGATTACATAGCATTTTGTCAACACTTACATAAGCAGATATCTATGGCGAATTTTTTTTACATTTCCCCATTTAATCATGACCCTCTCATATTTCAACTATACATTTACATTGTCTTTGAGGCTGTTATTTACATGTTAAATGTTAGATAAATTTTCAGTATTTAACCTTATCTATTTAGTTTTCAATCAAATCATTTAGATTTTTTGTGATTTTCATTTAGAAACTTAAATAAACAGCTATCTTGTTTAATTAACAGGAGCAATACTGGGCAAGGAATCGCGGCAGGTAGAAACAGCCGTGCGTTACAAGATAAAGCAATTCAATGGAAAAAAGGGGAGCGACTACCTCGGTTTTAAAGTGGAAGCCTCTCTACACTCTGATGTGAACGTTGATAATCCTAATGAATTCATTGGCTCAAGTAAGTGGAATATTTTACTAACCACACCATTTATCTTAAGGCATAGGTGTCGATTAAGTGGCGTGATATACCCCATTCAAGCAGAGTTTGATCACATTTTTTACTCTTTTTACTTATTGTATCTTTATATTTTTATAGCAATATGTGTACTGCCTGATAGCTATTTGCACAGAAGACATACTGAAATGAGAATGGTAATTAGTGTGCGTGGTTCTTCGGGGAGTATATTGTATTATTGCTATGGATTTACTCGTAATGTTGGCCGAAAGACCACGTGCACGAGCTGCACTAATGCATAATGAAGACTTCTTAGATCAATTTAAGATAACTTGTTGAAAAGTGTGGGACTACCAACATGACTGATATCCCAGAGTGAAATGGCTTCAAACATCTCACCAACCATGATAGCAAAATCCTGCACGTTGGTAGACAGTATAAAAACTACAGTTTCTATGCCCGATACCTATATTCCCGTCAAATCAATAGCGAAGGACCTTTATAGAAGTTAGGCTTTCTCGCACAAAATAGGCAGTCGAATAGTTGCATTATTGTTAAAAAAGATGAACTGAAGAAGGGTCAGATCAAAAAATAGTAGGCCTATAGGCTATACATTTTGGTCAGGCCAGTGTCTCACATTTCTTTTGAAAAATATTTGCATAGCTATTTAATATCACTTTTAAGTACTGTTAATTTATTTTCATATTGGATACTAGGCCTACTATAGTGTAAGATCAGGGAATATAATGAGGCAGATCAAATATATGTTAATATTAGGTAAAATGTTTGCGTGATTAACGTGACTCACTTCCCTGGGCTATGACTCAGAAAGATGTCCCCACAAAAGAATTCCGGAACGTGTCCACGCTGGGTTTTCTGTCAGTGCTGACTTGATTAGTAAAAATTGCCAACTAAGGCCATGGTTCGTTAAAGGGCTGCCTGTTAACATGTTTCATTAATTCCATCTAATTCTGAGTATAACGAGGTGAGCAAGGGTTTCGTTAAAAATTACAGAATGAGGACACAATTCAAATGGGAATCATTAACCAGCCTGTGTAGTTGTTTAATGGGTTTTATCTTTGACTTAATTCAAAACCAAATGGCATCTAAATATACATTTTAACCTCGGTCGGATCGTTAAATAGGGTCTTATTATCCATTGGCAACAATTGCTTATATCTGTCATGCCCTTTCCATTGTAAAGTAGTGTATTCCCTGTGGCTTTTCACAAATGTATGATCTATAGAGTTGCCATTTTCAGTGGTAGTCAAAATCAATTTGTTTTATTAATTCAGATACCATCAAACATTTTTCATCGTAAATCGTCCTTAGTGCAGTTTGGTTGGTAGATATATGTGCAATATATAAGATCGACTAAGTGTATTTAAGCGTCAATTGGATTTTACCGTGCAATGCTGATAAAGTAAGAAACACTTTGATTGAAACTCAAGATAATATAAAAAATAAGCAAACGGTTTGTACAACGAAGCAAACTAAAATTACGCCAACACCCTAAATAAGCAAACTAAAATTACGCCAACGCCCTAAATGTACAACCTCATACAATTGAAAATTATTTAGATAATTATTTACTGCTCCTTAGATGTCATTTCGTAACATTGTCGGCAAGATAGGTGTAAGAATATATCCATAAATTTGGTTTTCATTGTTGCGATGGCCGTCAGATGTCCATTCAAGATGAACTATTTTAGTTTTGATCATATTGATAGATATCAATATATGTATATTAACTGACAACTTTTTAAAATAGTATGTGAGTAATGTCTGTTCATTTTCAGTCCATCTGGATCCTAGTGACAGGTGTCACGCTGTCTTGGTGGAAGCAAGGTTAAAGGGATAATAACTCTTCGTTTTGGCCAAAAAATGAATTTTCCTGGAGTAAACAACAAATTTTCCATACTTACCAATGGTTAATGAATCCAATTTTACATTCAAAGTTAGTCCCTGTTTTTTTTCTAAAAAAGTTTGTTTTTTTTGTTTAAATCTCTTAAGAGATTTTAACAGAGTATAGCCATCAATGGAGGTCACGTGGTCTAAAGACAAGCTCAGATATCAGAATAATTGCTATAACTGCCGTTTTTGTGGTAAAACAGAATGTATTATATTTCTAAGTTATTCACAATGTTTTTATTGTGAAATATAGATCTCATACGAAGAGTTAGTATCCCTTTAATGTCAACCGTTACTTTGTACTTACAATTTAAACAAAGTTTTAGCGAGCTCAAGTTAGTCACCTACTCAAAACATCTTTTGAAAAATACTGGTGCGACTTTTTTGTGGACAAAGTTTCAAAAGAAGTGGCGTATAATCGGTATTATCCCTTCTTTTATATTTATAATTGAAAAGTATGGAGCTTTTAACAGCAGCATGGACTGCACAAAATATACATTCACCTACACAGACGTGAGTTAATATTCTCTAGTTGGAAAACTTTATACGTAATTGGTAAAACTTTGTTCGCTTCACAATAGTAAAGCAACGTTAAGTGCAGCGAGTGCTAAGGTGCAAGTAGATATGGCAAGCGGTGAAATCAAAGCGCCAACTTTTGTTCGATCTCGTGGGGCCAAATGAGGTATTTATGGGTACAAATACCTTCCATAAATACCCCGTTGACGTTATTCAATATTAGATTACAGTTAAGTGCTTGTTGCAATGCCCATGTGTACTTGTATGCTCGCGAGCACGCAGGTGTGAGAGCGATAGGAGAGTTTGCGATGTGTTAACGACACACTATTTATAATTTGTGACCCCCTACTGATGCTGACAGAACCTAAGCACAAGCACTAATTAAGCTATTGGACATCTTTACATCTCTCCACAAAGACCTTGAGTACGGGATTCATTTTGGATTTTGAGTCTTTGAGTAATCTTCAGCACAAAAGCATAGCAACTTAAAACGAGTCTTTTAAGTAGTTAAGGCTCTTAGTTTGTTTGTGTGTATGTTCTTGTACTAGAAGCAAAACCGGTGTTGCATTCTTTTGTACGTTAAATAGATGGGACCTACTCTTCCTGTTACATAATACATAATACTGTATCAAATCAATTTACATATCTAAAGATATTAACCAAATAATAATAAATAATAATAATAATAACAATAATGATAATAATAATAATAATAAGCATTATTATCATTGTTTCTAATAACGGGTGCTTTTCTACAACGTAAAATTAATAAGAAAAATAGGGCCTAATATGGTCAGCTGGTAATATAGATGTACATGTCCTTCACGCAGTGATATCATTGTGATATAATAACCACGCGTTGTCTTTATACTGTACTTTAGATTTTTCTATTACTGATTTCAGTGTGTGACCAAATGAACAAAGGTATCTTCGCCTTCATAGGAAGCAGCCATCTTCCTGCTGCAGCTTCGGCATTCGATTTCGCAGAAAAGTTCCACATGCCTTATTTTACTACGAGCCGAGGGGGAGTGACGTCATTACGTAAACATTTCTATTCCCTACACATGCTGCCTGACCACCTTGACGCTATTATAGACGTTATGTTACATTATAAGTGGACAGATTATATCTACTATATATTTGACGACGAGGATGGTAAGTGAATTAGATTTACGTCTCCTGTCATACCTATAATATATCCTACTGGCAGCTAAAAAATAATGCAATTTACAATATAACCGCAGAATCCGCATATCTCGCCGTCGACACTTTGGGACCGGAAAATTCGTTTGAGGTAAACGAAGATTCAAAGATAATGTTCACAAGTTCCAGCTGATAAGTACCAAAAACGTTTTATTTACTTAAGCGATAATTCGAGTTATTTATGAGGAGACGAGTTGCCCGTTACATTACACGTAAGGTTTGAGTCGCTCGTTAAAGGAAATAATTGGTTTGCTCATCTCATTGCAAGATGGCATAAAAATTACTTATACATTTGAATTCAGGTTTCGGTAGGTTGTCCTACATATATAAAAGACTGGAGGAACTGGGGCAACAGATACCAATTGCAGGAGCTAAACTGAACGACACTAACAATGCGTACGCAGAGCTTAGAATGCTGGATAATCTTCCTCAACGATTCGCCAATAAAAAGATCATTCTTGATATGTCAAGTCACAGTGTATTGAAGAAAGTCTTAGAACAGGTATGTTTAGTGGTAGTGCTTCTTCGCTCATTGTTCAAGAACGCTAACTGTGTATTATTCCGCCGGTGCACCGACCATTTTACCCACACGCAAAAAGATCCATATTCATTTGACATACATGTTTATGTGGCACCAGTAGGTAGACTATGCAGTTGTTAACCGTATCATAGACTTTTTAGGAGAGCTTTACATGAATGCATTAGCAAGGATCCTGTGGATTTGAGGCTGCTGTATTGAGCGAAATGTAATTAACCCAACAGTCATGTCTCATTAGGCAGAAGCATGTAATAGAGCCGGTGCGGCAATGTCCCGTAACATGCTGCCGAGCAGACTTCTTGGATAAAACATTGATCTCGAATACGACGCAGTCAGTTGAGGCCAGCCTGTGTCGGAGTACTGGCCTACTTTATCTCTTTCGCCCAGAAGAGTATAAAATGTTGGTTGTAGAGACAACTCTCTAGAAGTCTCTTTATCAGGGTGTTTTTTAGCCTCTATAAAAAGTGAATATAAAAAATAGGTAATTCTTATCAATTAAACCGTTTCTGTAACTAAAAACTACTCAAAAATCCCATTACTCCCTACTTCTACTGTCACACACAAACACATATGCACATGCACACACACACACACACACACACACAGAGAGAGAGAGAGAGGGAAAGCGAGCTACCGACTGTGATATTTGTGGAAGGTGGAAAATACAAAGTCACTATATTGTTGAATACTTTAATATTATTAAACATCAATCGGTCAAATGTATTCCAATTGGGCTCAAATTTAACACTTACACATCTTGGACTTCTTTCAATATTTCAGATATCTATTGTTGGTATGAACAAACATGGCTACCACTACATTCTTGGTACACTGGTAAGTCTATTTACTGAAATATTAATTCAGTTCATGAAATGTATCTCATTTTACATATTGTGTAAATAAAATACGTGTATCAAAACAATGTGACGGTCAGGTAGTTTTGAAATTCACCCCAAAGCGTCAATAAATTGATCATACAAGGAAATGTCATTTTTCTAATTGAAGCCGTTTATAAATTGAACCGAGACACTTCGTCAAAATGATGCCTCAGGAAGACGTAGCTAACCAATAACCTATCTGCATTCTATCAGTCATCTTTTGACAAATAAGTTATTGGATTATCTTTCGTCCGTCTTACCGTCATAACTTCAAATGTATTCTCATGGGTCATAGCTCCTAATAGAAGTCTTTATCATTTATTGTCTCATGCACAGGCCATAGAGGAATTAAACCTGACTCAGTTTCGGCATGGCGGAGTGAACATCACTGGGTTCAGTTTACTGAACTATACTTATTATGAGCTGGATAAGTTTATCGAAGACTGGGCTAAGCCTCCCCCGGAAGGGACTGGGATGAAAACAATAGAGGTATACTTTTTCCCGTCACTAAGCTTTATGTATTTCAATTCAATAACAGTGGAATCGCCGACTCGATTATCATGATCGGCACAGCTGTTTGCATGACTACTTTCTACAAAACAAGTTATAGTTGTTGATATGAAGTGCGAAGAATTAGTTAAATGGACAGAATGGCTTTTCTAATGGGTCCAAATATAATTTCTATATAATATAATTTCTACAGAGAAGGGATTAATCATTGCATACCATATTTCAGCTTACGTCTGCCTTGTTCGTGGACTCCATCTCTGTGATAACGAAGTCGTTGAACACTATGATGATCAACAAGAAAGATGTGTTTTCCAACATATTTAGAGATGGAGCGCTCTACAACAATGGGACAAGGGGTATCAAGTGCTTTTCGAGGTATCAGCCTACCCCTTGGATTCACGGACCCGGAATAATAGAAGCAATAAAAACGGTAGATATGAATTAACAGGCCAGCAGTTACTCTAATTAAATAAGACCAATCTTTTGAATATCAAAGAACAACTTTTGACTTAATTTGTGAAACCGGTGTAACGAAACTGAGGGTCCGTGTAACAGAAAGTCCACCCTCCAAGTAGTTATAATGGTTAGGGTTAGCCTGAACTATTTGGGTAAAAATTTAGGGCGAGGTTAGCCTGTGCAAATGAATGGGAATTGGACTCTCTTATGGGGGACTCTCTGTCACGTTACACCGGTCCTGCCTTGGGTATCACTTTTGAATTTGGGAAAGTCAGAAAAAAGTTGCTTTCAGACATCGCATTGTTGTTGTAAAACGTAATGCGCCGTTTATTTACTTAAAAGCTTCACATAAGCAGAATATACGCTGTGTATGCCATACTTTATTTCGTTTTCATCTCTGTATGTATACAAATGCTGCACAAAAATTATATTTTTTAATTATTCAGCCGCGGGTTGCGGGGCTCTCGGGTGAAATAGTATTTGACGCTTATGGAAAGAGGATAAACTATAGTATGGACGTTCTAGAAGTGTCCTTAGATTCTGGCCCAATTAAGGTACTGTAGTTTTTCTGCTCCAAGGTCGTGTTTCTAACAGGGCTTGGTAGATCTTACTTAGTGCAACCCATCCCAGTAGACTTGTCTATATACGGCTAGTTTACCGTAATGTGGAGCATGATATCTATTCTATGTGTTTACCACTTATTGTTATTTTCTTGGAGGTGATAGCTAACGAAGGTCGGTTGGGGTGTTAAAGACACTCCGTTTTAGACGGCCATCTGAGATGGCTAGCGCCAATAAGATGTGTAAGAATACTGGAAATAAGAGGTTTAAGAATACTGTATAAATAATAACTACAAAAAGAAGTATGAATGTTCAAGTCATGAATGAAGAATTAGAATATTACACTACAAGTTATCTCGATTCGTTTGTTTTGTGATGAACTTATATAAACTCAGAAAATGTATACTTTACATGAATTCTGAATATTTCATATCGTTCAGTTTGTAGTGAGCACGGGTTTAGGTATTATATATTTCTTTTAGATTGGGGATTGGTCAAAGGAGAATGGCTTCCTAACGAACAAACTTGGCGAAGGGTTGGAAGACAAGAAACCAAATGTCACGGCTACGAGGACCATACAAATTATTACCACTGTATTGGTATGTAGAGCTTTACTGAATGTTCAGACGCAGTTATATAAGTTCAATTTCTGATTTCTGACTGCTGCTGACACGTAAGGATCAAGATGAAGAGGTTCATATTTTGAATCGACACGCCTAATGAATTTCAGCACAGAGCGCTTAATCATGAGTATTGTGTCGTCACACTTGCAGCCACCATACACATTCAGCAATACTCTTTGTCATTTGTAACATCATCAACATACCTGTCATTGTGTGTAACATAAAGGTTACACACAAATCTAGAAGCAGAATCTAATTTAGTTACTTTAATTACTGTGTGTGTGATATGTTAATAATTTGCACAATCCATGATCACACTAGGCAGCGCCTTACGTCATGATGCGGAAGCCAGAACCAGGGCAGATTCTAACCGGCGTAGACCGCTACGAAGGCTACTGTGTGGAGTTAGCCAAGCTGCTTTCGGAGGTCGTACCGTTTAATTACACGATTAAGATCGTGGAAGATGGTCAATATGGCACTTTGGATAGCAATGGTCGTTGGGACGGTATGGTGGGGGAGTTGACACGACAAGTAGGTTAAACGGAAATTCTGTAAACACACCGCATTGATACAATGTATCACGTGATTACAACGTTCGGTATAGCCACCTGATGCCAAGATGTGCATTTCCATGCCCACTGATCATATAGTTATAGCTTGCTCCTCCCAAATTCTGTTTTTTTTTTCGAAGGCACGTTAGTGCAAGTTAAATTCTTTACTTAAAAATCCTTTGCCACTCGTACATTGCGAGACGGCGATATATGAAGAAACAATTTTTTCAAAATGTCTAAAATTACTTTACTTTCATAACTGTGATATCTGTATGCCGTTTCTGCAGCTAGTAAATGGTTTGTCTTTATTTAAACGATTAACATGAGCTACGTACTGTGGGAATCCCAATTTATTTATCTTTTAGACGGCCGACATGGCCATTGCTCCACTGACTATCAAATCTATGCGTGAACGGGTGGTAGACTTCTCCAAACCGTTTATGAGGACCGGCATCAGTGTCATGATTAAGAAACCAGAAAAACAAAAACCAGGGGTATTTTCCTTCATGGATCCATTAGACAGAGAGATTTGGATGAGTATCACTTTTGCTTTCGTTGGAGTTAGTATTGTGATGTTTCTTGTCAGTCGGATAAGCCCATACGAGTGGAATATCGTGAAGAACAACGGGGACGGTATGAAACTGAAAAACGCTTTCACTTTGAAAAACAGCATGTGGTTCTCCTTTGGAGCATTGATGCAGCAAGGAACAGACGATTGTCCAAGGTAAATGAAAGCGATAACACAGAAAAACACTTTTGTCTCTTGAAATTGTTCTGTCGTTCATGTGGTAATTGTCTATTAAAACAGTGTTGACGATTGAAGTTGCGTGCAAACGCAACGCAAAATGCACGTAAAATAAAATAGGTAATTATTTGCTTGACGTTGCACTCGTAACTATAAAACAAAATTTATTTAAATGAAGTGCAATAAGAAAGTTTTTATCCATATTTAAAATATATGTATCATATCACTCGAATCGATATCTGTGGTTTGCTTATATTCTTAGCCTGTACGTATGTATTACAATTTGGTTCAATTGCCTTTGGTGTGATTCATCGGGTCTTGCCATCGGGTACACCTAGAATGCACTACATGAATAGAGTTTCATATTGAGGCCATTGCAACCATATATGCCATACAAACTATATAAAAAGAATGAAGGAATAACTTAATTCATTGGTTAGCAGAAACTATAAATATGAATTATCATAACCATATATTTACACATTACCATTTAAGTTCAGTGTCTGGTCGGCTCGTCGGCAGCGCTTGGTGGTTTTTCACGCTCATCATAATTTCATCATATACTGCGAACTTGGCGGCATTTCTTACCATAGAGAGCATGGTACCGCCGGTGAATTCTGCAGAAGAGTTAGCCAACCAAGTTGATATTAAATATGGCACTATGGAGAAAGGATCGACATATGACTTTTTTAAAGTATGCCAATGATTATCACCCTTTTTATAGAAATATCCACACGGTTAAAGTGCCTGGAGTAATTATTTCATATATCTGCTTATAGCATTTTAAATTGGTAACGTTAAAGAGATGCTTAATCGTACTAGAAATATGTGTAACCATGGGGTTTTGAACCTTTTTCAACGTTTTGAACGTATTTTTTTGCAATTATGATAGGCCAAATTTATTTCCGCTTAAAAAAAAAATTATATTTAATAATATATCAACATTCCAGAGTTCGAAAATGGAAACTTATAAAAAGATGTTCAAGTTCATGTCGTCACAAGACCCAAAGGACGTATTTGTGAGAGACAACGAAGAGGGCGTGAAAAAAGTTCAAAATTCAAAAGGAAAATACGCGTATTTAGTTGAGTCTACAACCAACGAATACCATAATCAGAGGAAGCCCTGTGATACCATGAAAGTTGGAGCAAATCTGGACTCCAAAGGATACGGCGTTGCTACGTATCAGGGGCACCCCCTCAGGTAAACTGCCCTCACGTGTATTAATACGTCAATGTTTGGCACCGTATCGTTTTCATTTATCCATCTGAATGTCCGTTTAAACAGAACTCAACTCAGTTATCAGAGCCTCAGATTCCTCAAAATATAGGTCCATTGCATTGAGCCTGGGTATTTATTTTCATTGTTGTGCAAATGTTGTGAAAGTACTCATTGTAATATGTGGATACGGTTTATAGATTTGTTCCCATAATGTATATATAATGTAAGCAGATGCATTTATGTGTTGAATGGTTTCAAAAGCTAGGCATTCAATACCAACATCACTTCTCCTCACTAGGGATGCTGTCAATCTTGCAATTTTGAAAATGCACGAAGATGGCACATTGACAAAATTAAAACAGAAATGGTGGTACGACAAAGGAGAGTGCGGATCCAGCTCGGTAAGAAAGTCAAGATTTTAGTCAATGGGAATTTATTTAACTCTGGACACGCTGTATTAAGAACCATGGTGCGTAACTGCTCAATGAATCCAACTGAAAGTGTGATTAGTTGATGATAAGTGGGGTTCTGCTTCCATTTCTATTCATTTCTATTCCATTTCTATTTCGACTCTTGTGTATATATATATATATATATATATATATATATATAAAGCTGCTATTAAGAACTTCCGATCCTTTATAACGCACCCTTTCCAAAATTGGTTACTTTGGAAGATTGTCTTAAAAATATCTGATATCAGAAGATGGCTAGATGGGTTACATGGGGGATTCTTTAAAATATTTACTTCGCTAATGGTGTCTATGTCCCATGAAATATTTTTACGCTTGAACCAAACAACAGAAGTCTCTGAAAGCAGTATACTTTGAGCACGATTACAGAAACAACGCATTCACAGCGCAATTATAAGAAATTCCCAACATGATGAGTGCATCTTTTAAATCAAATTTAAGAAATTTAAGAAAGCGACAAATGGAATTCTATCTGTGCTAATCCGATTGTCAAATATGCCCCGTGTGCTTCAATTTTCCTGTACAACAGATCCCCAAAGGATTGAGTGCATAAAACGGTAGGCAACATTTCACTCTCGTAGATTTTACACGCTGAGTGTAAATGGTACTGTAGATCATATTGTTAACTGCGAAATTTACAAGGTTAGTCATAACTGCTATGACTTACCTTGCAAATATATGATTATATAAATATATGAATATATAAAATTAGTTGTTTTTTTTTAATTAACTAACACCACAGAAAAATTTCCGATTGTGTCACTTCAAAATGTACTTTATTTTTTGTCTTTTTCATACTTAAGGATTCGAAAACAAACGAACTTACACTGAGTAATGTAGCTGGAATCTTCTACATCTTGATCGGCGGACTTGCCCTTGCCATGCTTGTCTCACTGTGTGAATTTCTGTATAACTCACGGCAAGATTCCATTATGTACAAGGTAATATTGACGCACCCTAACCCTAGTGCAGTGGTAAGACCTATAGACAAATAAACAATTGACTGCTAAGTTCAAGTACTGACGCACGCTGACATTGGGACATCATTGTGCATTTTAAAAACGCATTTCTTACAGTACGCTCGCTCTCTAAAATTACGTTTCCGACCAACCAAATGCCAACATCGACTTCTTCCACTTCTCAGTAACTACAAATGGATATTTATAAAAAGAACATTATTTCCATGTATTGTCAAAATTTAAACATTTCATACAATATTGCACAATTGCTGTTTTGTTTCAGAAATCCTTCAAAGACACTGCCAGAACTCAGGCTCGGCTGTCTATATCTGGGCGATGTGGCATGGGTGGGAAAGACCGCTCTAGCTTTGACAACTCGTCCGCATATGGAGTGCCGGTGAGTTAGGGCTGGTTCTTTTTATTTTGGTAGTGAAGTGTACAGTGGGGATTTTTGTAATATGTTATATTGTATATGTTAAATGCCATTTCAGTGTATTAGTAATCTCCCACTGTCAGTGACAAAGCAATTGAACGTTACTAAATAGTAGTTTTATTTCCATATTTTTGTTTATTTATTTTAGATTTTTTTTCATAAAAAACGTTCATGTAAAGTACGAGTATATCTTTCGCTTATGGTTTACATTTATTAGCATCCTTTGATAATACTGTTATTTCTAAATTACAGTACGCGTATACTGCTCCAAATGGCATGATAACATTTAGAGGCTACGATGAAAAAACAGATACCGAAGTTTGAGTGGATATATCCTGACATCTTTGGTGGATATGTCCTGGCGTCTGTGGTGGATATGTCCTGGCGTCTGTGGTGGATATATCCGCGTGCTCATAGCTTTGATGGCTAGGGCCAGGCTTTTATAAACATAAATCTCTTGTTTCCTCGAGTAATCCTTACGAGTACAATCACAGGATTTATACTAAACACGGTATCAATTGCTGCCGCCATTCGAACTCGATCACCCCAGGTATAAAACAATGTTAGGAATACCTGTCGGACCAAAATGTTTCTCACAGTCCTCGGATTCCAATTCAGTCGTCTTGAGATAACTCGTAAAATCTCTTGTTAAGTTGCACGTGACTTCCACATGATTGGTGACATAATCAAGATGTAACAGTGTGCCCATGAGCAAAGAAATGTTTTTGCACACTGAGCATGACTCAACCAATAGAATGAAGTTTGAAAGTATGAAAATGTGAGTCTACAGACGAAGAGGCAGCAAGAGTTGGAATCAGACTTTTGTGTAGGTAGAATGACATACACATTTAGAAGCGCCACAAACATCAAGTAGTGATATAAAAACTAATATGCCTTTCTACTAGTTGTTGTTTTCGTCTGAGGTATCAAGTTATCTGTTGTTCAGAAGGCACGATCACACACAACTTGCATGTGTATTGAAATCGTGCTGTAGAACTTTTTGCCCATTTTGTCCAAAAACGTAAATAAAAGTTTTAACGCATGATTTTTAGTGTAGGTTGGAAGTGAGCAGTAGGGTCTATACAGTTTCTGAAATCTGACTTAAATGCAAAAAAATATTTCGTTTCTACGAAAGAACAAAATCGTGCTAGATTAAGTTTAAGAATAGTCCATTGCAGCAAAGTAATACAGGAGGCTCCAAAAAGATGTAACACGATATTTTATTAACAATATCATTTCCCGGCTCTGAAAGGAAACGTCGAGCGTACATGAACACTATGATTTATTAGCAGGATGAAGCAACACCGCATTGCTCTTATGCTTCCCTTCAATTCCTTCTTTGTTACATTCCTGAAGACAGGTTCCAGTCGCACGTGTCACCCTAGGTCTGCACGTTTTCCAGACCTTTCGCCTTTGGGTTATTTTTTGTGGGGATGCCTAAAGGACATTGTCTGTGTCAACAATCCCCATACTATATTGAAGTATAACATTCGAACGGAGATCAGGACAATTTCCCTGTGGCATGTTGATCACTGTGATTACAAACTTATCACTGTAATTCAGTGCCATGAAGGTTGTATCGAGGCCATTACAAGCTTTAGCTTAGCTCGCAAAATGGTGGTATAACAGGAAAAAATTCCACTAATCAAAACTTACAAGTCTGAAAGACAGGTCTATGAAAAACGTTTGTAAAGTTTTCTTTTTAATAGAAAATACTACTTTTATCAAAAAATGGGCACGTCTTTTTTGACCACTCATATATCAGAATTGAAGTTAAATTATTTTTAGTGATAAACGCTCTTGTTTTTCGGTTTTGTACCCATTAATGATATTATATTTGTTTATGATGTAATAATCCTTTATCTAGCAATATATTGTATTTATAGCATCGTCACTTAGTTAACTTGTAAATGCACGTGTTGTCCAGTCAATTTAATTATCAATAATTCTCTATTATATTGCATAAACTAAGTATTGTGTGTGTATTGGCATGCATAGGTCAAGGAACACATACAAGCCTTTCCTGTCTCTTGCATAGGGCGACCTCAGTCGGTAATTTTCATAACTACAAAATGTTTGATCTGTGTAATCAGATTGCACAAATATTGTCACACTGTATCACACATTCACTTAAATTGAAAGGTTTAAGATAGTTTTAGTCCGTACAACGTTACTTGAAGTTAAGAGCCACTTTAGCCAAAGCAGTTCTCAGCTTTAAGATACTTTTGAATTGTGTTTTAGATTCAAGTAATTCAATGACCTCCTGGTTAACGGAAATGCATCTTCTGTGTTTTACGTTGGGCAACTGTTGTAAGTGTTCCACATTATATGGATGGAGTATAATAAGTCAGTTAATCTTCACCTTTTTTTGATGGCGACACTTCAAGAAGAACAAAGGTCGATACATTTTGTTACATATACATAGTATTTCTTTTATGCAATGGCACTTTAAGAAGCAGTTGGTCGAATAGATTTTAACATAGTATAACATTTGTACGTCTTGTTTCCTATTAACCACGTCAATTCCGTTTCTGAATTAGATATTTGGATATTGTTTATGTAAATGTATGTTTCGGGTTATGTAAATTGGGCGCATGTGTATTATTGTCTTTTTTATATTGAATAAAGCTAACTACAAGGATGTTACGAAATGTCACAAGGCGCTGATAATATCATGTTTGCTAAAGAGTTTCCTTTATTTTACCGTTTTGCTGATTTATTTTAAAAGTATGCACGTTTTAATCTATTTAATACAATAACCTTTCCTTTTTACAGATTCTAGTTTTTGTTTAACATCCTAAGACATACATCAATGATTGGTCGAGATGGTCCGGCTTTTTAGTTACGTATGACTTAAACAGTGGCTTTTTTGTCGTTTGTGAGAAATTTGGAGTTTATTACGATATAATTATTTGACCCCATGTGAACACTGCTTAATAATAACAGCGTACAGTAAAACACGGATTTGTTGTCTGTTGTTATATAAAGCAGATAGCACGTAAGTTATTGATAAATTCAATTGCAAAGTTATTATAAGTTTTCGAGGTTAACATTTTTATTCATTTAATGTTTTAATTAATAAATGCTTTAAACGATAAAGAGATATTAATCAATGAATAAACATTTTTGAACCTAGGTTCACATACATGTACTATTGAATTCAAACAATCTTAACGTCAGTTTAAAAAAAACATAAGTGTGCTCCTGAAAGAAGAGAGATGCCATAAATGCTCTCTTCAGATGTATTTGCCAAGTATATAACATAATATAAAGAACGTTTTAAACTTTTGTCGGTATTCGTATAATGGTACTCACTTCTCTCCACAAAACACCGCCATTTTGCCTTTTAGTGGTACAGTATGGGTTAAATACGTGAGCTTATACGATCGATATACTGCTTTTACCATAGACAGTAATGGACTGTTTGGTTAAAATAGCATTTTTTCATAAAGATGGAATAACGGCTACTGGTGTCTCAAGGTTGTGACTTCTATAATAAAGAAACATATCTCGACTTGAGACTTACGTACACCATAGTATATGGGTGTCATTTTAAAATAACCATTTGCTTAATAGAGGAATATTGATAATCATTTCTTTAAGAACATGCAAGGGGCAAATGTACTTTTTGCATGGGTGGAAGCGCCTACATTCATTACAGTGGCAACACAGGGCCTCCACAATGTTATGCTCTTAATGGCAAACGTCATTAAAACACTGGCACATATTGGGTCCTACATTAGGCCCAACTGCTTCATTAGCAAACACTTGCCATTGTGGGCGCTTTCCCAAAGTTGACATTTGGTCAAACTAACTAGCTGCGATCTATACTGAGGTCATGTAATTAGTGTACCATATGAAACCAATCTGACCTCCGCTCTGGTGACTCGGACAAGGCTTGTAATACTCTGTTACCTTCCTGTGGTCAGGGATTGCATTCTGCTTTCTTCTGGCCTACTGTGATAGCACTTTCAAAGTTAAGTCGATCCAAATTGGCTGGAAAAGTACTTGCGGTACTGAGTGTACCCAGCAGGGCGGGAAACAAAGCTTGATTAATAGTCTGCGTTATTACGTTATCTCTTTTAGAATGTGTGGTCGATACAATCGAAACATCTTCTCTATGGTTTAGATAGATTGGTTGAGCTAAGTGGGACCACAATTTAGATGAAACGTTGTACATATCCCCGTGAGAAAAGTGCGTATAAAATGTGGATTGCGAACCGATTTCCGAAAACAAGGTATTTGTGTCTCTATTATTTATTTTTATTTGTAGTCGTGGTCCATCATTTTTATTGCATAAAAATTGCTTTGTGCCTTTCTGAAAAAAAAAAAAAAAAAAAAAAACTACAAAAGTCCTCACTTCACAAACACACATACGCATAATTATACATGTATATTATATATTTATCTTTGACAAGAAAAATATATATAGCTTCGTAAACTTGGATATCCCTTTTACTACTAGCTGCGTACATCATCAACAAATTGTGTGTGTTAAATAACCCACATGTATGATAATTCCATGCATGCACATAGTCAGCACGAAGGTACGCTGGAGGGGGGGATGATCACCAACTATAGTTGTGTTGATGCAACCAAAAACTTTTTTTTTACTTGCACGAACACGCGTTGGTTAAACTTTGACACATATACGTGTCAATCAAAATATTATCTAAATCCATTCATGTCACTTAAAACCATGTAATACAATCACCTGACGCATGTATTAATAATATGTAATGACTAGTAGGGGTTTGCATGCATATATTCTTATGTGCTTACAGCAGCGTTGCTAGCTGATAAATTCTGCGTGCTCATTAAACATAGATCAGCCATACGAGACCTTCCTGGAAGCAAACTGCGAGTGTATCGCACATATCTTTCATATATTAATACACCTTCATAATAGTTTAACCATGCAGTGTGAATGTTTTAAATCCAGGCGTACGTATTGTGACGTTTCTCGTGTTTTTTTATAATTTTATTTATAATTATTTTTTATTTATAATAATACATATTTAAAATATTAATTATTTATAATGTAAATTTATCATGATTTTCATTGCTTAAAGTGTTCTGATTGTTACTGGCGAAACAGAGATTTTATCTGAGTATCACATTGCACACAGTTGCCAAAGCGTAATAGCAAGCTTAAACAATTAATGGGGCTTTCGTGTTAGGCATCTTGCTGTGAACAGGATAAAATCAGATATAAGTGTCATGTTTTCACCAGTGCATGCTGGTTTATTCTGAAAGATACAAAAGGTATTGCTATTAGTGTAAACTTCTAATTTCTACTTTTACACAGAATTCCCCTTATATTAAATGCCACAGACTTAACTTACATGAACAAAATATAAAAACGAAAAAATATTGCTCAAAAGATAATCACGTCTTTAGGCACGCTCAGCACCGTATTGGCTTTAAAGATGATTGTCCTCGCGAGAATAGAAACAAATGTAATCGGACCGCCTTGATTGACAAATATGAGAACATGATATCGATTCATTAAATTGGTTTGAGAGCGGATTTTATCCAGAAGAATACATCATACTATGTATAGTGGGCAATGAAACGCCTCTACGGCTCTCCGCCATAGCTTTTCCCTTTCAATTGACAGTAAATAATACATTCCCAGGACGCGCTTTTAAGTGTTTCGGGGTGAGATAAGTCATCAGTCCTATGTTAAGGTCAGAGATTCTCTCAGCAAACTCTCTATTTAAAGCAGACGAAGACAGCATTGCCAAATGAGCCTGTTTAATGTTGCATGTTCTTTTCCACAGCAGTTGAGTGGTATATGGTCAACATTTCCTGCTGGCTTAGCATTTTAATGTTAAAACACACTCTCCCAGTGGGGGAAAAGGCAAGTAATGATTGCATAGAAAGCCAGCAAAGGAACACACAATTACCTCTCTTCACTCACAAGAGTCTCTTGTCGATCGATTTCTGTCTGGCATTTCAACAGATAATGTACAAAGCAAGCTTAACAGAGAGTCGTGGTAATTTGTTTAAATTTACAATTTTCCTTGATTGCCCAAGCAAACAAGAACACTTGAGAGTGCTGCTTCATTTCTACGTTGACTCTCGTCAATAGTCGGAATTGGTGACGGTATTATGCGACCATTGTTTCTATTCCTAATATTGTTAGGACAGGAATTGTTGTCATGAAATA